GTGATGAGTGGTGTCCCTCAGGGGTCTGTATTGGGACCAGTAGTCTTTAATATCTTCATCAGTGACATAGACAGTGGGATCAAGTGCACCTTCAGCAAGTTTGCAGATGACACCAGGCAGAGTGGTGCAGCTGAGATGCCTGAGGGACAGGATGCCATCTAGAGGGACCTGGACAAGCTGTGGGAATGGGCCCCTGTGAACTTCATGAGTTCAACAAGGCCAAGTGCAGGGTCCTGCACGTGGGCCGGGGCAGTCGCTGGTATCAGTATAGGCTGAGGGATGAAGGGATTGAGAGCAGCCCTGCCGAGAAATACTTGTGGGTACTGGTGGATGAAAAGCTGGAGGTGATTCTGCCCCTCTACTCTAGTGAGACCCCACCTGGAGTCCTGTGTCCAGCTCTGGAGCTGTCAGTACAGGAAAGACATGGACCTGTTGGAGCAGGTCTGGAGGAGGGCCACAAAAATGATCAGAGGGATTGAAGACCCCTCCTATGAGGACAGGCTGAGAGAGTTGGGGTGGTTCATCTGGGAGAAGACAAGGCTCCAGGGAGACCTTGCTGCAGTCTTTCAGCGCTTCAAGGGGCCTTAGAAGAAAGATGAGGACGGACTTTTTAGCAGGGCCTGTTGTGATAGGACAAGGGGAAATAGTTTTAAACTAAAAGAGGGTAGATTTAGACTAGATCTAAGGAAGAAATTCTTCACAATGAGGGTGGTGAAACACTGGAAGAGGTTGCCCAGAGAGGTGGTAGATGCCCCATCCCTGGAAACATTCCAGGTCAGGTTGGACAGGGCTCTGAGCAACCTGATCTAGTGGAAGGTGTCCCTGCTCATTGCAGGGGAGTTGGACTAGATGACCTTTAAAGGTCCCTTCCAACCCAAACCGTTCTATGGTTCTATAATACATTTGAGAACATGGTATGCAAGATTTGCAATAGTCTCATCATATAATGTTTCTAGTTACTGTGTCTGGAATGTATTTATGATGATACTGAGATACATAAGAAAATTCTGATCATTCAGGACATGGAAATTAGTCATGTTAAACAGCTTGGTACTTGGCATCAATTTTTTTTAATGTTGCAATTTTCTGTGTATTCTGAGACACTACTTGGGTTGGTTTTGTAAAGTTGGGATTAAAAGTAAATCCACAAAAATGCATCTTCAGAATTAAAAGAAACTGATTTATCTATAAGTATCCTTCATCTGCATTTACACGCTCGAAATGAATAAACATCACTGTTTATTCAAAAGTTCTAGCACCCTTTTTGCTTCATTTTTTTCTCAAGTTGCATTTCAATTTTAGACTTAGACAGGACTAGTTTTCAATCTGTGGTATTAGTACAATCCTGTGATACAAAATGCAACATGGCATTTTGCTAGTACTTAAATTTATGTGAGTATATCTATTGGTTCTAAACCAGAACAAAGTTTTGCAGTATTTCTGCATGCTTTAGAGTGAGAGCTCAAAAAGTGTGTGGGAGATACGCCACTCTTCAGACTGTAATCTGTATTTATCCTGTTTCTTAAAGCTGGCATGGTTTGTGTTTCTTTCCTTTTTAATATTATGGCATTTGCCTCTAGAACTTGTGAGCGAAGTCTAATACTGCTGTTCATTTTTTTTTGTTTGTTTTTTTCCCCTCTAGGGTTTGAAATCTAGGAAAATGGCAGACATAGACAAGTAAGTAAAATCTGTGGGTTACTGAGGCTCTGACTGTGTCCTATGCTGTACTTCGGGTGGCTGTGATATCTGGATACTTGATAGATAGAGTCTAGGTGGTGACCTTGGCACTGTGGCAAGATAAGAGGTTTATAGCATGTGGGGAAAAAAAGCTTGAGTTGCTCCTGCCAAATGGGTTTGAGATCTCAATTGTGAGTAAATCTAAAACTTTAGTTGGAATCTTCAAAATTCTGGAAAGCTGCTAGTTCTTTAAACTGTTCTGAGATTGCGCAGTGTGAAACTTGAATCTATGAAGACAAATCTGGCTTTTCTTGGCTATTAAGACTTCTAGTTTGTCATTGATCAAAATTGATGCAACAGTTTGCTTCTACTCACATGATCTCTAACTTGAGCTCTTTAAGCTTATTACAGCATTTTATAAAACTAACTTCTTGATCCTGTTATTAAATATTCCTAATAGCAAAGAACAGTCTGAACTTGATCAACAAGATATGGAAGATGTTGAAGAAGTAGAAGAAGAAGAAACTGGTGAAGATGCCAACAGCAAAGGTAATGTTGAAAACGAGGGTTTTTGAGCAGTTGAATATGTGCTTTCTAATTGTGCTAAAAGGATTTTACTGCTTAAAATAATGGGAAATAGTAAAACATAGCTACTGATGTACAACTGTATTTAAATTATGAAGCAAGGACTTTTTTATGTGTGTGATTTTTATTAGTTGTCTGCAGTCACTCATTTTTAGTCATCGTCAGTACCAGTTCAGGCAGCGCTGGCCACCTGTAAGGATGTATAATTGGGGAAGAAAGGATTATTGTGGGTATGTGACTAGATTCTTTTAAAACTAACAGCAGTTAAAAGCTTTTAAAATGTGAAGCTTTGGGTAGAAAAAAATCAGGTCCATATATGTGTGTGTGTCTCTTTTGATAGTAATTTGCTGCTGAGTTGTTTGATTGTGAGCAGAACAAAAATCATGCTTAGTGTTACAACTCTTAAAATGAATAAATCCTTCTATCTTTTCCCTCAAAAACCCAAACCCTGAACATATATCAGAATACTTATTTTGTCTGTACTGAACAGTCTTATTCATGCTTTGTAGTTAAAGATTGGGGGCAAAAATAGAATCTGAAGAGCAAGTAGCTAAAATAAATAACTAATAATCTCTGCACCAAAATTATTTGGACTGCTGATAGTGCCACATAATGTGATTGCTTGAGCAGAATAATTACACTAAAGAAAAGTAGGATAATTTTGCTCAAGTTAGAGGCTTTGCTATATCTATTGAAAGAAGTGTTTTCAAAACTGGATTGCAAAATTTTGGAACACACTGGTCAGCTGAAGAACAGCTTATAATAATTAAATGGTAAGTATTCCAGTGTCCCAAAGGAACCTAGAGCTGAGTAATATGTATTCTTAGTGATTAATCCCAGCTATTGTAGGTGAGGATCTGAGAGGAAATTGTACTATAGGAATCTTGGAGGAAAATTGGATTTTAGAAATCAGAAACATGTTTCAGTAGTAGGGAAACTTGACACAGTGTTAAGCAGTTCTTTTGCATCTGTAATTCTTTCTTGTCTAGTTTTCAAGTTTCATGCACAATTTTTCCTTACATTTTACTGATTCACTTTTTTAAATCTAGGTAATTTCATATTTAAATATGTCAAAGGTCCTTCTGTGAACACTAAATAAAGCACTCACGCTTTCAGGAAAAACCTCTCTGAAGAAATAGTGTTCATAGATCCAAGAACTTGCAAAATAGAATATGTGGTCGGATTTCAGTTTGAGAGGATGTGACTGTTGGCACTGGCATACCATGTGTATGATTTGTATGTTGATTTGGTATTAAAGAATAACTGGCAACATACTCAAATGGCACATTTGGGCAGGTTTTTGAGTGTCTAGGAAAGACTCATGAATATAAGACCAGAGAAGACTAGATACACTGATAAGGAGTAGCGTTAACTAATGTGAGGTAGTACCTTTAAGAAGTAATTACAACTTCTACTGCTAAAATAAGAACTGATTGCAATCATTATGGAGAAACAAGACTGCTTTTTTGTATGTCGCTTGAAATATAACTTTTCAGCATGTAATTTCAGTGCTATGATATACAAGTGGAAGAGAATATTCATATGCGGTTACTGTACTGAAGGGCATAGAAATGGAAAATGGTATGCTATTGCCAAAAGCTTTGTGCATCAGGTAGGATTCAAAAGCTTCACTCTAATTTGAAGGTGTCAGAAGAATGCTATATAAATCTAGTATCTTATAAGGAATGCAAAGTAGTCATTTGCCTATCTGTAGATGTTGACAATAGGGGGAAGAAGGCAAAACAGCATGATAGAAACTGATCATAAATTCTTCTTTAAAAGCATGAAGTTGTGAAATTAATTTCTGCGTGTTTAGGCACAGCTTTTGAGCAGAAGTAAAAGGGCTGATGTTAATATGGTTAATGAGAACACTTAGGCTAGGAATTTGTGTCTTTTTTTAAAGTGTACTTCTACCTTGTAGTTTGAAACAGGTTTCCCATTTGGACAAAGTTCTTTGTGAAGATTATAGACTTCAAGCACCTAGTAGTGGTATTCTGTAGTCAGTAATGTGTCAGGCTATTCTAATTAATAATTTATTCTTCTGCAGGGAAAATTAGATAAACATAGACTTGTAAAGCAGTTTTAAATTCAAGTTTGAAACTGTCATATTCCTTTCCAGTTACCTAAAATGGAATGAAAATCTGAATTCCAGTTTTTATTCCCTTCTTAAAGTAAAAGCACAGATTCTTGTACCTTGCCTTTCCTTAATGAATTCAAAATCAGTCAAGGCAAAACTGATGCTTTTAGGGGCATCATATGAAACCTTCCCTTTTAACAAAAAAGCTCAGCTTGCTGAATAGTGGCCTTCTTAATCCAGGTGCTGCTTCCATGTTCAGAATAGGATGTATTTGATCCATGCTTCCAAAATGGAGAAGTGTTTGAAATACTTCTTTGCCTATGTTTCTTTTTACAAGTGTATATATAGTAAGCTTACTGCTCTTTTGTAGTATTTAAGTAACTTTTCTTTCAAGATTAGTCCAAAAGATGCACTTTGCACTTACATAATTTTCTTTTTTTAATTTAGCTCGGCAGTTGACTGTGCAGATGATGCAAAACCCTCAGATTCTTGCAGCCCTTCAGGAAAGACTTGATGGTCTGGTAGGAACATCTACAGGATATATAGAAAGGTACAGTAGTTGTTCAGTATGAGCAAAGGTGGTATAAATGGTTCTTTTGGTTTCTGAACAGTATTGCCTGTAGGATTAATAGCCGTAAATAACTGTGCTGCCCAGATAGCTGGAAGACTGATATAGTCTGCCCGTAGTGCATCTCAGAATTGAAGAGTTTTTATTTGGGCTTTTATGAAGAAAAGAATGCTAAAATATTTACAGTGGCTGACCCTGTCCCCTGCAGTTACAACATGGCACACTTCTTTTAAAACATACTTTCCTGCTACTTGGAATGTCTTTTGTAGCTTTGCCTTAATCGTGAAATATCAGTATTCTTAAGGATGGACAAATACGTGGAGACCCAGTATCTCTATAGTCAAGCCAGGAGCTGATAAAATTCAGAATGTTGTATCAGTACTTCATGTGGTCTCCTTAACGTATCAAAACTTCCAACAGTATTTTGCTAAAATTTTCTTTACTTGATCTGCATTAACAGATAGAATTTTCTGGCTCTCTTATGTAATTTCTGATTGTGTACAAATGTTTCACCACATCCACAGGAATTGTAAAACATCCAACCTTCCTGCTGTGATAGGGTCCTACATTGCTTTTGACTTGATCCGGGGCAACTACTGAGTAACATTGAGGGCATTGCTGCTGCTACTCCTACCCACACCACTTTACTTTTCTGTTATAGATAATAGCATGGTGGAAAAGCCCATTTAACAGCCTTCCCTAATAAATACTGGCCCAAGAAAGAGCATGGAGTCAAAGGGTACTCAGGTTCTTTCTCTTCTACATACTGTACACTACAGACTTTCTATATCCAGTATTTTTCTTCTGTTTTTCAACAGATGTTAATTAACCTCTACTAATCTTCCAGGTCCTTGATCTAAGAAGTGAACAAAAGTGGTAACATTGATTTACATGGCATTCTTCTAGTCAGCTGCTCTCTAAGATACTGTAACATTTCTTTAACAGTTCAAAGTACAGTAGTGTATTCTCTGTCACAAAAGCATTGCAACTTTGCCATTGTTACAAAATGCTTACCTAACTTGCAGTACAAAAATACCTAGAAAATGTGTGTGTCTGCACTTTCTCAACATATGTATGCTGGCTTAACCATGCTTTACAGGTGCCTCTTATATGTCTTCCCAAGTATTATTTTGAGGTTATTTATCTACAGAGTCTAGACACTGAGGTGGCACAGAAGTCATCAGGAATCTGGGATCCTAAAAGCCTGTTATGTGGACTGTTAAGGATCTAGATGCATAAGCTGGTAGGAAACTAAACAGGTTCCAGGAAAGTATCTGTCTGCTCAGGCTTAGAATCTGCTAGTTGCCTGGCAGCTATCCAATAACTTACCTCTTCACCTGTGCCTGGCCACAATAATTTTAATGAAACTTACTTTCATAGAGTAGCATTTCCCTCAGCTTGCTCACAGGAGGCTGTATTCTTGTGTAATTATAACATTTACTAGGGGCTTGTATTTAGAACAACAGGTTTTACTTGCTGCTCTTGTACTTACACAGTCCAGTTCATACTTCTTGGTCTGCTTCTCCATTTTGGATTTACTCTGTAAAAGCTGTCTATTTCGTTAAACTACCTTTTTTTAAAAGAACAGAGGTTATAAAGGTAGTGGATGTACAGGTTGTGAAATTTGAACTAGTTGGCGTGGACTGTCACAAAATGTAGCTTTGACACATGCACAAGATTCTGGATTCTTTAAGAAAGGGGTTAAAATCTTTACTCTGACATACCAGAGTTGGATGTGCTGTGCACATATGGCACCACCTCTTAGAAATTTCACAGTTTTCACATGCAATTGCTAGGACCAGTACTCTTACTCTAAATATATATGCATGTGTCATTAAGTGGATGATTGCTGCATGACTTATCTATGCAGTTGTATTAATTTTCTTCCTTAACATTTTTTTCCTGAACAAATTGAACTTGTTACTTAAGTTGCTGTTAGTTCTGATACTGTACTTGAAGATTACAGCAAGTCATTAACTTGACTAACTTCTGCAAGAATGTCAGAGTAACAAGAATGTTATCAACCCTTTATGAACATGATTAAATTTAAGCTTTTTTGGTAGTTCATGTAACAGATATACTTTTGCCTAAATTGGAAGGTTAAGGGAAATCTTGATTTCTTGGTGGTCTGTATATTATCTTAGTAAGAAGAAGTAGTATATTTGTGTTGAGCATCAGGGAGAAGGGTTCTGCATTTTAAGGTGGACAAAGATGTTGAAACATGTGCTTGTCCTACCTAATAGAGGTAAGATAGCTTTAATTAATGCGAATTTTCAGTGTTTAACTAAGCTAACATATTCTTGGTTACTTCCTCTAACCTGAAACTGGTCCTAACAAATAAAAGTAGTTGTTTACTACTGTGTTCTAAATGTGGCCCAACTGCTTAAATAAAATAAATATGGGAAGTTAACATGGTAATCTTCTGTAGCCATATGCTGGGGTTTGGCTCGCCTCACAGGCAGTGGGGTTATCAGCAATCTACCCATAAATCTCACCAGTAGCATTGGTGTAATAACTTTCTGTCCTGACAGTAAATCTATGTTAGTGTACTGTACTAAAGTGAAACTAGTATTAAAGAGTTGTAGCTGACAAGTATTTATAGTGAGGATTGCATTAATTGCTTTCCTTTTATACATGGGTAATGCAGTGGCTTGTTTAGCAAAACTGTTCTAGCTCATTTTGGGAGTGAAAGTTAATATGTTAGAAGACAGTAGTACCAGCTGCTTTCCTTAGTGAAACAAAAATGTGAATTTTGAAGAGTGTCTTCCTTAGTGAAGTAATAATTGAACAGTCTTGGACTTTCTTTCATAAAACCAAACCAGTTAGTGATTAGACTTTTCTTATTTCTGCTCAGTTGTATGAATTTACTATGCTGCTTATTGATAATGTAAAACTTGTTTTTAGTGTGAAGTTTTATTGCACAAGTTTGTCTCATGATTGATCCAGGTGTTTGGAATACTCTGGTTCTAATCCAGGTTAAGCCTCAGTTTAAGAGCCTGTGCTAACAGAGTCAATCCGCGTGGTACAGTGGGTCATAGTTTTTGATTTGTTCAGATTTCTAAAGCTTAAAGTAGAGTGCAAAATCTGTTTTGATGCGAGTTGGTTAAGGGAGGAGTGGCTAAGGAGGGGTCAACGCGTGCTTAGCATTGCAGTGTTAGTAACAGTTCTGTCACTGAATTTTTCAGCTTGCCTAAAGTTGTTAAAAGACGTGTGAATGCTCTCAAGAACCTTCAAGTTCAGTGTGCACAGATAGAAGCAAAGTTCTATGAGGAAGTTCATGAGCTGGAAAGAAAATATGCTGCTCTCTATCAGCCCTTATTTGACAAGGTATTTTAATGCTAATCTGATTTGTACTTAAAAGCTTTAGCTAAAACACAAGAGAATATAAATTGAAAGCTTATGCATGTTCTGAATTATTTTGGTCTCATATGTGCCCATTCAATTCAATTGACACCATTTTACTGTCCCTGTGAATATCAACTAAGATTAAGGGGAAGAAAAGTTCAGTCTGTTCCATGGTTACCTAAATCACTTCAATATAGCAGGCCTCAAATTGTTAATTGAGCAGATGTTAGATGATATGGTAACCTCTGGTGCCTGTGGAACTTTGGTGCTTATTTTAGTGTGATGAAAAGCTCTTAATTGCTGAGTCGTCTTCTAGGGCGAGAAGAAAAGTTTTCATAAATAGTTAGTGTGTTACTAATTGTGTAACTTTAGGATTAGAAATTTATTAGTTAGGGCATTGCTGGTTGCAATGACTAGGAAATGTGAAAATATTCTTGGTTTAATTTTCCAGCGAAGTGAAATCATCAATGCAATTTATGAACCTACAGAGGAAGAATGTGAATGGAAAGCAGATGTCGAAGAGGAAATTTCAGTGAGTATCATAATTGGTTCTCATCAATATCTCAAGCTTTAGCATGAAACAAGATTCGATACAGTAACTAAAGTTAAAAAAAAAGAAAAAAGTGGGTGCATAATGATTGCTTGCTTATAATGATAATTCATAATGATTGCTTAAAGTGTGCACATGAAACTTAATCTGTACTGGTATCAAACATAAAACGAACCTTGTGGGGACTCTTTTTTAAAATTAAGAAAAACTAACATTTTTATTCTATCAAGGGGGAAATGAAAGAGAAAGCCAAACTTGAAGAGGAAAAAAAGGATGAAGAAAAAGAAGACCCTAAAGGAATTCCTGAGTTTTGGCTGACAGTATTCAAGAACGTGGACTTGCTCAGTGACATGGTTCAGGTAGGAGGCGGTCCAGGCTTGTTTGAAGTTGCGTTAGTACTTAATCCAAGTGTCTTTCTTAAAAAAGGAAGGGAAACAGTACATTACTTGATGTGTCTGTTGGAGAATGAAAATGGAACAAGAACTTGGATGTCATCTCTGGTACATTAGTCAACTGACAGCACAGACCAGTCTGAAATACCTTCTTACTGTGTTATTTGTTAAACTTATTTTACCTTACTAATACACTTCCTGTATTTATAGGAGTGTATGTATGAGATGTGTATTGGATATTGCTAAAAACTACCTGGTGTTAGCCTGGATTTAGGTTGCGTGCTGCAGTGGAAACTATGGCCGTTGTTGCCATCTGCTGGTCACGTTCATGAAAATGTTTCAGTGTTGTAACAAGGTTCTTGTCCAATGTGAAACTTATTTTAATAAGTATGGCTTTTTATCTCTGGGGGGGTCTTAAATCTGTGTACAATTTAATGTTATGAAAATTGAATACACTCTGTTTTCTTACAGGAACATGATGAACCTATCCTGAAACACTTAAAAGATATAAAAGTGAAGTTTTCAGAAGTTGGACAGCCTATGGTTAGTTTAACCTAGTAAACAAGATTATTTTTGTGTTATCTTAAGACTTAACTTGTATATTAGTAGCATGGTCTGTGATAGCCAATTGTCTTATGGCAATCATGAGAAATATACAGCTGCTGCTTGTCTTCTGAAAAACAGTACAAGGACTAGTACTAGTCTTGCAGTACCAGATGAATAAATTTATTCTTAATTTAACCTTCATATTCTGATGAGTTAATAACTTGGCCTTAATGTCTGATGACTAAATTTCACCTTTAAATTTGGATACCTTCAGGTACTTTTTGTTGAACTGTTATAATTGGTTATAATTTCCTTGCCAGCAATTGGATAGATTGCTAAGTTTTGACATGTTAAACTTAGAAGTTCTCTCTATATGTTAGCATCAGGAAAGCTGTACACTGGGAGATCTTGTGTCATTACTGCAAGCAGTATATTAACTAATAAGCACAAGATCAACATGGTAAATGAAAACATTTGCATATTTATTTTACAACTTGGGCAGCAAATTCTAGAATAAGTTACATGTGTGCACCATTTCAGTATTGGAGGAGATGAATATATTCTGTTGCATGTGTATTTTTCGTTGGGTTTTAGGTATTTAGAAGTTAAAGGTATGTGTTGCTAAATTCCTAAAGTTGTCACTCTGCAATTCTTTTTAAGAGTTTCACATTAGAATTTCATTTTGAACCAAATGACTACTTCACAAATGAAGTATTGACAAAGACGTATAGAATGAGGTCAGAGCCAGATGATTCTGATCCCTTCTCTTTTGATGGACCAGAAATCATGGGTTGTACAGGGTAAGTGCTAATAAATAACTTTAAGACAATGTAACAGTTTCTTCCTTAGCATTAGGCAACTGTAGGCTTACAGCATCTTGGGAAGGTGCTGGAAAAGATACTGCTATCTAATAACTTGTAAACAGCTGGGTTTGACTTGAGGTTTTTTAGTGCTTTTCAGTAATTTCAATACCATATATAAAACTACATGTTTTAAATGATGCAACTTAATATATAAGATATTACATATGCATATACATAAATGTAATCAGTATTTATCTAGAAATACTGTTCTGCAATCACTAAAGTTTAATTGAAAGGTGGATGGTGTTATCTTTTTGCAGGTAGCTTTTTGTAGCTTTTTAAAAAATTTGTTTGATCACTTCTTTAATCTTCTTGTATTTCTGACATGCATTCTGTTCATGTCCCTTTTCTTGCGACCAGAAGGACGAGAGAAACCTGACTTGTACATTACAGCCTGTTCAGTTGCTTTCATCTTAATGTCTCTTTGATGATCTGACTGCTCTTCTGAGTGATAAGTAATTTAGAGCCTATCACTGCAGTCAGGCTTGGTTTTACCCATATGTTACTCTGCAGTTACTGATACTGACTTTTATTTACCGCTTCATTTCCCAGTTACTTCTTGCAACATATTTCTTCAACTGCTCTGTAAGATTTAGTCTTAAGTGCTTGAGTAGCTTTGATAAAACTGTTTTGTCTTCCTCTGGACTGTTTTTGAAAAGCATAAATCCTGGCAAAGGTCGCTGTAAGATGACACTCGGCTTCTGTAAAAATTATTTATTCCTAGTCTTTGTTTTGAGTTTTAAGGAAGACAGCCTCTTCTTATCCCAGAACAACTTATCCCCTTCTTTTGAGTCTTTAAAGGAAACTTCTGCAAATGCAGGCAGTCTTATTGATGTGACTTTTCATTTACATGTCCACAGAATTTTTTATGTGAGACAAGCCTGTGAGCCTGATTTTGTAAGCAGGATAGAGTTAAAGAAAACACCAACAAAACCCAAACAAAAGGTGGCAAAACTCCCACAACCAACCAACTAAAAAACAACGAAAAACCACACATCTGCCTGATGCATTATTTTAAGGACTTTTTTTACAGTGATTGGTTTGGTAAACCTTGGCATATTACTAACATGACTAAATATTACATTACTTTATAAATGGATGGGTAGCTCTAAAAATGGTGTGATGCCATTCTTTGATAGGAAACTAGGCAGAATGTGGTAGCTCATGAAAATTAGCATTTCAGAGATTGAGCAGGGAAGGAAGAACTTTTGGGTGAAAACACTTCAATCCTAAAATGAACCTGTTACTCTTGTTCTCAACATACAGACTAATGAAAAGATAGCACTGAATAAATAATACCTTAATATTTCATATTTACTGTATCTCTTGCAGTTGTGATAGACTCAGTAGGTACCTGTAACAAGTAGAATGATATTAAGCTGCAGCTGTTTTGTTTTTTTCTTTTTCTTTCCTCATCAGTTGCCAAATAGACTGGAAAAAAGGAAAGAATGTTACTCTGAAAACCATTAAGAAGAAGCAGAAACATAAGGGTCGCGGAACAGTTAGAACAGTGACAAAAACTGTTTCCAATGACTCTTTCTTCAACTTCTTTAGTCCTCCTGAAGGTAAACTGAATATTACTTTATCTGCATTAACTTTAAAAGTAGTATGTACTTTACTCACTTGTTTCTTCTTTTTTTTCCCAAGACCTGGTAAGTTGGCTTACTTAAAATAAGAGGGTGGAGGGGAAACACCAGTAGAAGAATTCATGCCTTTATATACAAAGCATTTGTTGAAATTTTTTGGGAATTTGTTAAACAGCGTCAGCTTTAACTGTTTCTGTATTTAACTGAGAATACTTGTGATGAATAATATGTATTTGAGTTTTCTTTATTAGAAGGAGAATTTTTTGAGTTGAATGGTAGAGTTCAGTTTAGTAGACTTTAACAGCTTATTCCTCCTGAAAGCTACCTTGTGAATTGTTACAGTTGTACAAACGTAGTGATCTTTGTTAGTAGCTTTTGGCCTAATGGGTGGTGTAAGTCTCTCCCTTCAGGCATTGTTTGGATGATCTTCTGTAATGGCTGCATGTATCTGGTTTGTAGTTTATTCTGTTAAAAATTCCAAGTTATTAACTCTTGGAGAAGGTAATAACACAAGAATAGAAAACTGCAAGAGCCCACTCCTCTGTGTGCTCACTAGTACAAAACTGGCAATAAGCCATCTTTTTGTAAGGAGGAACACTACCGAAAGCACTTAAGTGCTGAATACATCACGAAGCTTCAGTGAGAAAGCTGATTAAAGCCTCCAGAAGCATGCTGTTAGAACTCCAGTTGGCGCAGACACAAAAAGCTGTATGGTCATAATGTTAAAAAAAAAAAAAAAAAAAACAAGCTTTT